TCTCTATATATATATATATATATATATATATATATATATATAATTTTATAGAAATATATTTACAATTGATTAACTTCTGAAGCCAATTTTTGTAGTGTCTTTTCAATGCTTAATTTTTCTGTTGCAATAACATAACACTACTACTTAATAATAATAATATTGTTGCTGTTGTTGTTTTTGTTATTTTAATTTAAGGGCATTTCCCAGCAAATTAATATGTGATTATTTGCTGTTCTTTTGATTAATTATCTTGTCTGCCACAATAATAATAATAATATCTTAACTTTTAGAAGATGACAGTTTATTGACTTAAAAAGCCACTTTTTTAAATGTCCATTAAGTACTTAAGTTGTCCGCCTAATGTCATATTATTACTACTAAATAATAATAAATTAATATTATTATTGTACATGATGACAAACAATTTGACTTCTAAAAACACCTTGTAATTGTAATACTACTAATACCACCACCACTAATAATTATTATTATTTTTATTATTAAAGAGCCTTTTCAAGCAAACTGATGTGTGATTGTTTGCTGTTCATATGATTAATTTGTGGCCTTATTGTGTAATTAATTCAGTTGTGTTTTATAATTGATTGACAGTCCTAGTTCACAATCTAGAACCAGTTACTGGAACTTTGTGCCCTTAAATAAGGAAATTAATAGCAGGTCGCTGTTTGGGGAATGTCCCTATATCATTAACTTCTATAGAAAGAGGCTAAATGACTAATACCGAGCAACAAGAATGTAGGTGTTTTAAAGTGAAGAAAATGTTGGTTACCTTGCAGACATGGGGTGGGGGTTCGGATGTGTACTTGTATAGGAGAGCAAGAAGAGATGTTATCTAGGAGCACAAGTTTTGTGATGTAAGTTTGCATGCCTAAAAATGTCTTTTCTGAGTATAGTTCACACCTACTCTTTTATCTGTTTCGCAGGAAGTCTACCTTTGATATGTTCAACTTCCTGGCGTCACAGCATAGACAGCTTCCTGACACCGACCTGTATGATGAGGAGGAGGATGAGGTTCTTCTCAAATCCACCAGGTCAAATAAGACTATTACAACACTTTGTGCATAAAGTCGCAGTTGAAAAGCCATTCCATTGCTGAATTGCTTTTAATTTTATTTTTATAAATGATAGTTTTTACAAATATTTTAATAGGAGTTATTATGAGAGATACTCAAGGTGATATTTTTGCTGGAAAAAAAAAAAAATGACTGAAAAGTTGACACTCAGTTTGTTGTCATGACAGTGTTCCCTTCATATTCCCTTCCCCTTTTTTAATCTTTTACTGTTCATATTTCCTCTTTCTTGGTTATTTCCCTCAGTGTTGCGCTTTTTTTAATGATTAGTCAACTGTGGTTTGGTTCACATGACGAATAAATTCAGTTGCACTTTGTAGGCGTGCAACAAGTTTGGAGCTTCCGATGGCCATGCGCTTTAGACATCTAGAGAAGACATCCAAGGAAGCGGTTGGTGTCTACAGGTAGGTTGACTGTTTTTAAACGTTGAATGAGGAACTGAGTCAGTTTCAGTTCTGTCCCAAGCTCCCACATTTGAGCAACATCTGTAGAAAAGATGGGCATGTCTTTATATTTGGCAGACGTCAAAATTCCATTATGAGGCTATGTAAGATGAGATGAAGTCACCAGTCGCATGAAGGAAATGTTCACCTATAGTTTCCAAGTGATCGCCCGAAAAGGAACCTGTGAAAACCCCCCGGTGACATGACGATCTATAAAGATGCTAATCTTTAGATCTGCTTAAAATATTTGTCTTTCTTTTTAGCCCTCCCATGTCTTAGATGCAGCCAGCGAAAATATAATCTTTGGAACCCATGCTGCAATCCTTTTCCAGTTTCTTTTCATCTGCTCTAAAAAATTATTTTAATTCAAAACTGGTCACGTTCATTCCTGTAACTTATTCTTGCTGTAGGTCTGCGATTCATGGAAGAGGTCTGTTCTGCAAGCGAAACATCGAGGCAGGAGAGATGGTCATTGAGTATTCAGGCATTGTCATTCGTTCTGTTCTTACAGACAAGAGAGAGAAGTATTATGATGGCAAGGTAAGTAGAAATGTGCCTTTTTTGTTTGTTTTTTTTTAGAGCAGATTTGTGTATTTGTGATCTCTAATTACCACCAGGTTTAACAACAGAAATGCATTTTGGGTTGTCATGGCCCTCTGTTTTTACCCATTTTCTTTGTTATATAAAAAAATAAAATAAAAAAGAACTCATATTTTGCCTATAAAAATTTTACTTTTATTACCAGAATGCAAAAAAACCCACTTCTTACTGTAATGTAAAAGTATATATTAAATATTTTTTATCACACACACAGGTTTTGTTTTTTGATTTTTGTTTTGTTTTTTCTTTATTTAAACAGGTTTAGAAAATTCTTTAATTCTTTAGTTTAAAACGATTAAACTAAATTAAACTATTAACGATTAAACTAAATTAAACTGAACGATTCTATTTCAGTACATTTTAAAATATATTTTATTCCTGTGATGCAAAGCTGTATTTTCAGCATCATTACTCCAGTCTTCAGTGTCACATGATCTTCAGAAATCATTCTAATATGCTGATTAGCTGCTACGTTTATTATTTTTATCTATGTTGAAAGCAGTTGTGCTGCTTAATATTATAGGCCTTTTTCACGGTCCGCGTTCGAAAACCGGAAGCTTCGAGTAGTTGTGTAAAATAACTTCCGCTGTAGCCTGCATGAATGGCAATGCCCATAGCATGGGGTTGTTGTGATTTATTAATGTACAATCTATCATAGACGTTTCATCAAAACATGTTAACCACAGTTTTCAAACATTAATGGGGTATGACGAATTTATTTAAAATTGTATTAATTTTACTTTAATATTACATTTTTTACATAATTTTCTGTACTATATTTGGGTTAGAGTTTGAATATCACTCTTATACCACCTCTTTCCTCTGCTCTTCCTACCAGGGCATTGGTTGCTATATGTTCCGCATCGACGACTTTGACGTGGTAGACGCCACGATGCACGGTAACGCGGCGCGGTTCATCAACCACTCCTGTGAGCCAAACTGCTACTCTCGAGTCATCAACGTGGAGGGTCAGAAGCACATAGTCATTTTCGCTTTGCGGAAAATCTACCGTGGAGAGGAGCTGACCTATGATTACAAGTTCCCCATAGAAGATGCCAGCAACAAGCTCGGCTGCAACTGTGGTGCTAAGCGCTGTCGGCGCTTCTTAAACTGAAGAGCAGTGCTGGAGAAGTCGATGGAGTTTGACGGGTAAAAACGGTGGACCGAGGCTTGACGGGTAAAGGGGGTCCATGCTGAAGGTTTCAAAGCTTAACAGTCACCACTTTAATGTCAAAGTCGTTCAACAGGCACATACAAGCGCCACCAACTGTTGTGGAGCCATTCACGCCCTTCAACCAGGATTCCTCCCGATCAGTTGACATTCAGTCCAGTAGAGCAGATGAGATGGGAGCATGAGTGATGATGTCTGGTAACACGGCCAAGGCCTTTTCAAGAGCATTTCCCACCATGCTGCATCATCTTTGCTTTATTAAAAGTTTTATCGGAATGTTAGTGGGTTTTGAAATGAGTCTCGGTTTCGGTCGTAGCATTTTTTTTTTTTTAACTTGGCACGAATATTGAACTCTAGGCAGAGTCCTTGTATATTTTGCAACAAAATTGTGACTACTCTTAAATTATTTACGCAGGCTTTTTTATGCTTTCCAAAAGCTGGAACACGCTGCCAAGAGTTTGGGCGTTCTGTTGCAATGAATAACCTGTAAGTTCCAAACAACCTCCCTTTTTCTCCACCCTTGAGCTGACCTCAAAGTGCTGGATTCTTACGATCTGAACAAAATCACCTCTGTGCTTGAGAAGCATTTTACTGTGCGGACCACATAGTGTGTGAAAGCTTAGCGGCAGTGAAGATACTGTAAAAACATGCATATTACTAATGAAATGATGTGAACGTATTCAGATCTGTATCTTATCAATTTTATTTTAGATCACACTTTCGTGTTTAGCTTAGAAAGACTCCCACTTCTCAGGACAACACTGTAAACCCCTCAGATGGCAGTCAGTAAGAGACTCTGTTGCGTTTTACACTTGTCTGTGACCGCTTTCTTTCGCTTAAACTCTTTTAATCTACTCAAAGGCTTTATTTTTAATAATTTATTTTCGTTGTATTTTTACAGTCAGGTCTGACTTTTCATTCTGTTTTTGTGGGCTTGTTCTCTGGTGTAACTGTATAAGCGTTTTTTTAAACTTGACCTCCTCCATGGTGCTAAGCCCAACATGAATCCTAAAGAGGATCAAATCCATACTTCCTCTGTTTCATGTCATGTCAGAGATCCGATGCGAGCTGGAGTTGATGCACCCTGTTACTAAAATAGCAAAGCCAACCATACACGCTTTCCAACAATGAGCCCATAAATGTCAATGATGTGTTGAAATTCGGAGTACTCATAAGCGGCAACGCTTTAGCATGTTTGTGCTTTTTATACCTCTTGAGAGACTTGTGTCGAAACAAAATCATGCCTGAGTGGATATTTGTGTTTCTTTTCGTCGTGTAGTAGAAGACACTACATAAGCTAATCGTGACTAAACGCATCCTCATTGCGTCAAGGTTTGATGACGTTGTGGATTGTTCCTGCAATAAATCATTTTTTGCCACAATTGCACATACAATTGGAGCTCTACATTTATCTAGGGAGTTAGAAACTGCTTAAAGTGTCCTAGAGACGTAGGAGCGTGAAGGCGATGTATACTGGTGACTTACAAAATCTATACATATATATATATATTTATAGAAGAGTTATTGAAACAGTTTTTCAGTAGACGGTGGCACTCGGCACCTTCATTTTCCTTGAAAGATTTGGAAGTTGGTTCTCTTCTTCATGCAGGAGAAAAATCAACAAGCTGATGCCGTCGTTCGGACTGCGATTCGGGTTCGGGTGTTCTGTTTATTCCCGTTTAACTTTATGGGAGTTTTTACCCAAAGGTCTGTGCTTTTTGTATGTGACCAAGGTCTTATCAGAGTTTTCTTCAGGGTTTCCCCCCCCCCCCCCCCCCCCCCCTCTTCCCTTCTTACTCTT